ACGTGTTAAATGTAAAATAATAAATAAAAATAACAATATATTATCATTACTTGTTTTCATTTTTTTCAAATCCTTTTTTTTAAATTTTGTGCTTTCTTAAGCACTTTTTTTAATTTTTTTGTGCTTTTTAAAAATATTTTCATGATTTTTTAGGCACTTTTTTTCCATTTTTTTGTGCTTTTTTATCCGGTCTTTACTTATGAGACACTTCCAGCCGTACAATTTGGGTACTTATGGCACTTTTACACAGCCAAGTAACAAAGATAAAGTAATAAATGAAGCCGTAGAGGTTAAGGTCTTGGCCATTGTAAGCCAGGATCTATAAATTTCAACCAAAGAGTTTGAAGCGGAATCCTGAACTTCCCAAACCACCGAGATGAGAGTTTTAAAAGCACACAGTATCCCAAACTTCACATCCAGGGGATGAGGAGCTGCGTGTGAATTTTTGAACATGGTTCTGAAACAAATGCCAACAAGACATCCAGTTCTCTTATAAAATATTATATATTATTAATCGACACAATGAACATATTCGGAATCAAACAAATTCCCATCACTTTGAGCAAAGGAGACCACAATTTAAATTTGGATTTAACGTTTGATGCGGAATGATGGGTTCCAAAATTCTTACTCCATTTTGGGCGCACCCTATATTGAGTTTCTGTCTTAAGTTTAATGTGAAGTTTCTACTTCAACCTGAGCTCACGATTTTAAAAACTTAAAATTTGGTCCAAAAAAAGCTTTTTGCCGCCGACTGCCTTATCGTAGAAATGAACTTTTGCGGAAATATCCAGAGTTCCCGTTTACGCGCCTCGGTAATACGGTCGGAAGCCCTCAGAAATCGCATAAATTGGGGGCTTATGTCAAATGATCCTATTTGAAGAGAGAATCGAACATTCCTGTGGCCTCTTTTACCCTTCTACAAAATAGTCATGTCATAAGCGTTTCGATTCCCGGCAGCCATCATCAACGTTACTTCTTTTAATTGGCATAAACATATTTTTTGCAAGTTTACTAGTATAACTTATGTCATAGTATTCACTTATCGTGATTATTGACAGCTCTAGGACATCAATAGCGCCATGGAGCGACAAAATTGCTTGTTTTTTTGCAGTTTTGTTTCTTTTGTACAGAAAATATTCAACAGCTTCAAACAAAGTGGCCACAAAGCAGATTTGGTTAAAATATATGGAAATGGCTACAAAGGGACAAAATATGTGGCTTTCAAATTTAGAGGACACTCTCACGGCGGATAGATTTTTAAATTTTTTATCAGTGTAACAATGTACAAAGTTTACACAATGAGTGTAAACAATCTCTGGTTTGAGCGCGACGGTGCAGGATTTCACAATACCAGAATTGTGACTGAATACTTATTATAAATATGTCCTCATAAAGAGGGTCAAGTGGCCTACTCGGGCTCCTGGCCTCTCACTCTTGGACTACTATTCATGGAGCAGAATGAAAGAAAAATTACTAAACCACACCTGCCCAGAAAGGTCAGAAATAAAATTGTTACTAGTTGGACACTTGATATTCGTAGAAGATACGACAGGGCGTTTAAATTTGTCTCAAAGGGGCAGAAGTGTTTAAGAAGTCAGTGTTAAAAACCACAACTTCATTTCACTTGTCTCCTTCTACCAACTAGCTATCTCAAAGTGTATTGGTACATCATTTGATCAACTAAAATGACTCATTCCTTTATCGTAGTGCAAATTTTAACGACATTTCACGTTATCAATAATGCGTATTATCAGAAACGTGATGACTTGTTAAACCAAACCTAATTATCAAAAATAAATTCTGGAATACTAGTTATTGGGGTAGCATTTCTATGGCGCCAGAAATCCTGATCAAATAGTGTCATGATCTTTGTCAAATTTGCCTGAATTTGTTCGGCGGTGTATTATCGTGTCTAAAAATGATAGTAGCAGTAGCTAGCGAAATTTAGGTGATCATCACATTATCATCCCACGGACTTTAAACCCCCCAAAAGACCTTGATGCCTGCTGAAGCTGAACTTAGATACTAGGCCTGGGTAAAACTGTGTTGAGCTGCGCTTTTGAGTTGATGCAGTTCTTTGACATGGTGAGCTGTAACTCATCGCGCCTCACTGCACGGTACCTCAAATTGCGCGTGTTGCGGACTCCATCCACTAGCTCATAGGGGGCAGCACCAACTTTTGTTGCAGTAATAATCACATTTATCTTCATTCAAGATGGCAGACTTCGAATTGCAAGTTCGTGCAGGCTGCGTAGTCATCATACGATTCCCAATGACCAAAACTAGTTCGTGCTCAATTTACTTATCTGATAAATTCTTATTGATTTCGGTTCGGCATCGGTTCTGTTTATACCCGAATTTCAAAACGCGAATCCTAGAATGAATGCAGTGATTACACAAATTGAAGCACTGACAAGTTGCCTATTCACAGATGTGACAAAATAATCTTTTTTCAGCACGAAATAATCGCAGATAAAAACTGTTATTTCAACGATTTCCGACATCTGTTAAATCATTCAAATATTTGGATCTTTTGTCAGAAAATTTTCTTGTGAGACAACCACGCTTTTCAAGAAGAAAATACACTATGCACCAAGCCATGTGCGCAGCACTGCGCCACCTCATAAAAATCAACTGATTTACCCAAGCCTATTAGTTAGTAATTCATCTATTCTATCAAGATCATTTGAACGAAGACAAAAAGTGTAAAGAAACACAATAGTGCAATTTCTGTAGCTGGTTGAACTGACACGTTACACTTTTGGTAAGCTACAAAGAGTGAAATGAGACGTGGAAAATGAAAATGGTAAACTAGAAAAGTGGAGAAAAAATATTATTTACAATTTATCTAAAATTTATTGATCCGATTAATTGAAACACTGAGATAGAGATAAGCTAACCCAAATTTCGATTAAAAAAATATTTATCGTATTTGTCTCCAATACACCGATTAATCTAAAATATTATTTACATTTTAAAATAAATTATGGACGAACTTAAAGACTTGGAGGCAGCGCTTCAACTCGCAGGGAAATCCAAACATACGAACGCAATAAAAACTGATGTTGACAAAAGAGGTTATAAATAAACTCGTCCTTTGATGAATGTTGCAACTTGGCGAAATAAGAATGAGTATTCATATGCAAGTAATTATATGGTTGCTGAGACGACTCAAATGTAAAATTTAATTTTGAAGCTTTCAATTCAGATGAACTGCTTAGAGCAAATAATTTATAATTCCGTTAGAAAATTAACCTTTTCCTATCTGAATCTTGGCTTTGTTGTTTTAAGAGGAAGCAAACGAAATGCAATTTAATGGTTCGATGGGATATCCTGTTGCAACATTTTTTATTTAATTTTTTGCGAATATTTTACTATTTGGGAGAAATATTGGTGTACAGTGAGGAAGTACCTATTAGAACAAACGCCTGAATTGATTTAAGTGAATTTTAATCTAGGAATTCCTGGATTAAACTTAATTATACCCTACAATTTGCAGAGTGATTCAAAATTGGCGTCATTCCTTTTAAGGGGTTTATAGGGGCTCAGTCGAGAGTACGAGATACATACTGATTTTTTGTTCGAAAATTTCCAGTAGATATTAACAGTTGAAGATTGAATTTGTGATTGGCAGCCTATTGGAATACTTAACCGTTCGAAAATAAATATTACGATTTTTGCTTCAAATTACGAAAAAAATTTATATTAAAAAAGTACTCTTCTTAACAGATACTTACAGGTAGAGAGTCTTTGTGAATAATAAAAAGCATTTGTCAAACGGTGACTTACTTTGAAGTCCTTTCACAAAATGTACACCAACACCGAATTTGCGAATATGCGATTAGTTATGGGGAAATGCCATATAGCAGAAGCTGTAACAACACCAGCAAAGAGCAGCTAGAGACACTGGACGATAGTGGACGATCTTGAGATGTTCGGGTTCCAGACCTAAAGGAACAGGTACTGAAGATAATTGCAGCAGACCCTTCCAGGAGCACGCGGAACATTGCACAACTGACACTTTTCCAGGCACCGGTTAATTGTCCCGATAACTACCCCGAGGAAGGGCTGTTTTCCTACAATGTCTGTGAGATACACAGGACACTAAAACACATTAAATCTATAATCTTCCGAACACCGGTACAAATTGAGCAGGAGTTAATTAACCGAATTCGAGCAGCTTAAAATGTGATAGCAGACTGCTGCCAAGAGTGGACGATAAACTAAGTGGGACTCAAACTTGTTTGGAGTTAAAGGATAGAACTTCCAAAACCTCTTGTAATTTAGCAACTAAATTATATTTCCTTTGATCGATATTGACTATTGATACATAACCTTTACAAAGAGGTTTCCGATGACAGATGTGGCGGATTTAGGTATATCCTTTGCCCCCAAACAGTTGGCATCACTGACGGCAAAGTGAAAACGCTATCCTAACCTCAAAATATTTAATTATAATTTCACTTAACAATTAATTTTTTAAATATTTTTTCTGTAGGTACTCCCAAACAACACCTCGAGAGGAATGATTCCAATTTTGAATCACCCCGCATTATCAAAATAAGATTTAATTATAAATAAAAGTTATTCGTAGCCGGAATGAGCCCTTCTGTTTCTGATTTAATATTTACTAACTGTTCTCGTCGATTCATGATTTCTCTGTTTTTTAAATCGTAAATTTAATAATTCAGGGTCTTTGACTTTGTATATTAAGATAAATAAGGCAAAGTCGAAGTTCATCCTTCCTTGTTCTTATAAAATATAATATAAAAATTAACTAGCTAATAATATTGTGTAGTAATCAGCGCGCAGCAGGTAAAAGTTTTTAACTTTGCATTTGAAAGAAACATTTTGTAAAGACTACGGCATCGGATAATTTGTTGTAACTTCTTTCGACATTAAAACTAAATTATTTTTCAAATTGGATTGCTGAGTGCATAGGTTAACTTATAACAGACCTTTCCAAGTCCAAGTCCAAGTCCGATTAGAAATTGTGCCCATTTTCTTCGACAAATTATTTTGGCTTACAGTTATGAGTTGTTTGAATTGAAAGAAGCGCAAATAAGAGCTAACTAACTTTTTACTGTTGTTAACACACTTTTAGATTTATGCTTACTTAAAGAAGTGCCTTATTGATAATTTCAATGGGAAAATGTCTAGATTATTATGAATGTCGCACAAAAACACTTTTTTAGAACAATTGAAAAATATTAAAATAGTTCAAGAAACTTGACATTGATTGACACCTACACGGTGGTACGTCAAAACAACGCAACGGCGCACTTGTCTATAAACTCATGGTTCATGGTCTTATAAGCGGTGCAGCGCATTCAATCTCATTTTCTTCGGTTTTACTGAATAGAGACTATGACACACGCCTGATATATTTTAATAAGTGTGGAAAATCGTTGATAAACAGTTTTCATTTGCGATTATTTCGCGCTGGAAGAAAATATTATTTTGAAACATGTGTAGGTAACATTTCAGCAGTTCTTTAATTTGTGCAAAAACAACATTGCATGCCGAAGTCTGCCAACTTTAATGAGCTTAAATGTCAAGGGTTATTTAAGGTGCGGCGCAGCGAGACGCGGGGGATTTTAAAGAATTTTCGCACCCAGCGGCATCAGCTCAAAAGCGCCACACAACACAGTGTCACCCATGCTTAATGAAACCATCTCGTGAGGATATTTGCAGAAAATATTCATCGTTATATCTATGTATCTAAGTTAATAGATTATTAGCTTTATTAGAGCTTATTAGCTTTACTAGTTAATAGATTATTAGAATTTATCAGATAAGTAAATTGAGCACGAACTAGTTTTGGTCATTGGGAATCGTATGATTACTACGCAGCCTGCACGAACTTGCAATTCGAAGTCTGCCATCTTGAATGAAGGTAAATGTGATTATTACTGCAACAAAAGTTGGTGCTGCCCCCTATGAGCTAGTGGATGGAGTCCGCAACACGMGCAATTTGAGGTACCSTGCAGTGAGGCGCGATGAGTTACAGCTCACCATGTCAAAGAACTGCATCAGCTCAAAAGCACCACACAACACAGTGTCACCCATGCTTAATGAAACCATCTTGTGAGGATATTTGCAGAAATTATTCATCGCTATATCTAAGTTAATAGATTATTAGCTCCGCGCAATCATTAGGAAGCGTTCGCTTATTAAACCATAAAAAAAAACGTTTTAAATAAAAGCCACAATCTCAAAGGTATTGTTTGTAGGCAAATTATAAAATGCGAATAATACAAATAAAATGCCACGCAACATTTGTCCAAAACAATTTGCAAATCTAACTTTTTAGTGCTACCTCTAAACTTACCCTCTGATGTGTTAGAATCCGCCGACGTACCTGAAATAAAAAATAAAATAATTAATAAACTTAGTTAATTAAGAAACTGATTGAAACAACTTTAACAGTTTCATACTAACATTATCATTTTAAATGTGGGTTTAGATCACTTTCGGATCTACATTTTCGCTTTCGTACTCTATTCGTGTGACGTTTTCTTAGACAACTCGTTTGGTATTTTTGCATTTATTTCGTATATAGGGTGATTCAAAATTGGCGTCATTCCTCTGGGGGTGTTGTCTGGCGCTGTTATAGGAGTACAGAAAAGTTTAATTTATAGTAAAAGAACTTAATTGTTATTAAAAACTGAGAAATTTGCAAAAAACTATATCATAAATACGGCAGCAATGTTTTTCAAGGTAATCTACCTAATTAACATTGCGCAAATACCTGATGGTTCGTAATTATTTAAAACTCCGATAACCATGGAATTATACAGAGTACATACTTTCCTGACTGAAGCCCAGGAATTGATTTTGATTTGGAATTATACAGAGTGACAATAAGATAGACAAGTATAAACGGTAAACTCAACACGATTTGTTGACTGCGGAACGTACTTTCGAAATGTCAACCGGTTCTCATAACCTCGAATGTTTATAAATAAACCATACAACACCAAACATTTGAATGGTTAACTCCAAACAAGCTAGTTCCTGTGTAATCTCCTCATTATCCACTCTTATCAAGCAGGTTCTAGTATTCAGTTCATTAACTCTTACTCCATTTGTATCTCCTTGTGCTGTGTGTATCGTACAAACGTGGTAGGAATGTAGCCCTTCCTCAGTATTTATTTGCTGCTTGGGAAAGTGTCAGTTATTGTGCTCTGAGTGCCCCTGGAAGGACCTGATTTGATTATGTCCAATACTTTTTACTCTGTGTCTGGAACCCGAAAATCTATTGTCATCCACTATCTTCCTGGAACCACTCTCCTCGCTCTTTGTTGGCGTGAGTTCTTTCAGCTTCTGCTATGTTACTCATAATAGCATTTCCCCCGAACTAATCGCATATCCGCAAATTCGTGAAAGGAAATTCAAAGTAAGTCACAGTTTGACAAATTATTGTTATTGTTGACAAGGGCTATCCACCTGTAACAATCTGTTAATGACAAAAAACATCATTGCCGCTGTTACTTTTCATCAAAAATTGTAGAAGATAACTTTTTTTATATCAAAAATTGTCGTAATTTGAAGCAAAGATCGTAATTTATATTTTTGAATGCTTAAGTATTCCAATATGCTACCAATTAAACATGGAACAATTTTAAAATAATGCTTAATAACAAAGTTGAAATTCGATCTTCAACTGTTAATATCTCAAAAAAATTCTATGTTTTTCTCGTGCTCCCCAAGGGAGCCTCTATCACCCCTTAAGAGGAATGACGCCAATTTTTATTTTTATCCCTGTGGATAAAACTTTATTTCAACATCACGTTTCAAAAGTAAAAATACAGATACCGTAAAAGGGTTTAATTATACCGCGATTGGGACAATTTTAGTATGCTAGTGTGTCAATGATGCGATGATATAAGAGCCATTCAGTTAGACGTCAAACGCCATTACGTGATTAACATGTAACTGCAAAGCAATTTTTCTATTGCATGTTACCCGTCGATTAACTTCAGGAGTAAAATTTATGCTTGATCATTGTCTGGCTGGGAACTCATGACAAAGGGCAAACTTCCTCAAAATGATTACTATGTATCAGCAAATAACGACGTCTTCACTATAACAACAAATTAACAAACAGCCATTTTCCTTTAATACGGCCAGTGCGACAGTTGCCTACTAGATAACTAGTTTACAATTGTTTGTTATATTCTGTTCTCTCTCTCACTGTATGTAGATACAAAACTATCAAAACAATTATATCGGTTTACTTATTGACGTAAATAATAGACAATTAAAGTATAGGCAGTTTCTCAACAAATAACAGGGGGCCATCGCGGAGTCTTAGAGTTGAATGGGCTTTGATTTAGTGTTGATATTATATATTTCCTAATTCTTTAAAGCTGTGTTGAGCTCATGAGTTATATTTAACATATTTACTGGATCTCAAGCTTCGAGAGAAGGGGCTAGTAACCTACCGACGTAAAAACCATCGTCTGCCCACAGGACCAATAATCAGCCTCGGACTCGGACTATGACGGACCAAACAATGACGAACCCTGCGAGAAACCGCAAAACATGACAGAACACCAGAAGGCAGAACTCAACTTGTAAACACCAAACCCCACAGAATTCGAGGTTATGAGAACAGGTTGACATTTCGAAAGTACGTTCCGCAGTCAACGAATCTTGTTGAATTTACCGTTTATTCTTGTCTATCTTATTGTCACTCTGCATAATTCCAGAGGAATGACGCCAATTTTAAATCACCCTGTATTTTTAGACCTATCAATTGGAATTTTTCAAATTGATTTTGAAAATGATTTCAAAAATATATATGTATTGCCTAGACTTGTATTAGCCGTTTTTTCTGTATTATGTTTTAAAAATTTCAAATAGCAACAAAATAAAGTAGCCTGAAATAAAACAAAAAACTATAGAAAGTGAACATAACGGAACTATTTCAAAACAAATAAATAAATAAAAACAAAATCATTAAAATCATTGATTTTGTATATTACCTCTCTTAACCGCTAGACATTCTCTATTATCTACTTCAATTTTATCTATGACGTTTTTAATGTATTGGTTATGATTAATATTAATATCGTTAATTGCATCCACTATTTTAAGGCGTCGACTAGAGTCTCATACACAAAATTCCTTAAATAATCCCAGAGAAAAGAAACGAGAGGGGTTAGGTCGGACCTATTTGGAGGCCTTTGGATAGGACCCGCTCGTTCAATCCAGATATCAACATTTTTATTTAAAAAAAGTACCGAGCGAACGTTATGGGGTGGAGCCCCTTGTCGCATTTGTAGGCTACTTTGATTTGTTGCTATTTATAATTTTTAAAACGTAATATAAGAAAAACGACTAATACAAATATGTATAGGCAATATATGTATTTTTTTGAAATAAGAAAAGGACATCCTATTGGTATGTCTAAAAATGTGAGTTGTGTCTAAAAATGTGGGTGTTTCATTAAAAAAGATTTGATGTGAAATTTTGTCATTTCCGTGTTTCGTATTTTTATTTTCAATTCTGTTGTTGAATCAATATGGTTTTTAAATTGCATCACTTTTAGCTCGAAAAAGCGTTTTCGGTCATGCCCAGTCAATTTTCAATATTAGAAGTAAGTCGGTTAAAAGAGAAACAGTGTTGCATAATCTACTTCGAACGCATTATTTTTGTCTCATTTGGTATATTTCGTAGATATCTTAGCACGCTTTTGCACGGAATATCGCCAGCTAGAACCAATAATAGTTGAGGCATACCGCCTAGCCTTCAACCTTATATCCTACTTACCAACAGCATCATGAATAGAATGTTCATCCGCTTCACCGATAGTTTCTATGGACTCAGTCCTGTGTAAGTCCCTTTTGCTTCGAGAAATTCGTCTAAATAGTCTAGCCATTCTACACCTGACTTTCAACGTGAAATTACACAATCACTTTAAACACTTTAATAGGAGTTTCACTATTTTAAAAACCGAAATAAGCATCCTGACATCAAATTTACGATACGTCACAGGAATATATCGCAACTGTTTCATTAGGTAATTAAGTTTTGAGAAAACTATATGTTCTTATGTGCACTCACAATAATATATCACACCTTAATGAAACGCGTTCTAAACACCTTGCTACGTGATTTCTTATCTTATCTTTTATTATGGTTTAAATAGCTCACTAATATCAATAGCCATTACTTTATTGTTTTAAAATGGATTGTTAGTTATACATCCAGCAGGGCAGGAACAAGAGTAAATAAATCATTCGTAATTCATTTTCAGTGTGCCTGGTCTTTTGACATGGTTAGCCGATCCGAATTTCTAAAACATGAGTTAGTGTTTTTAGGTCAAATTTAAAAACTTATCTGAAATGTGTTTCCGGGTATTAGTACTAAGTAAGTAGCATTTTCAAGTGACTACCTACTGATAGTAAAACGAAAAGTAACCACACCTCTCAGCACAATCAATTAACTAGCATAAAGGGTTTAAAAACCTTTTCTAATATTAGAATAGTAATCTTGGCCAAACATTGTTAAATGTTGAAGAGCGGAAAACATTGAAAATTAGTCTAGTGTGGTTTGCAAAAAATAACAAGCGTTTCGGAAGTATATCGACGAGGGTGGTTTGAAAAGTCCCTGCAAAAATGAAAACTACTTAATTTTTAAGGATGGATTATTTTTACTTTTCCACATAATCTCCTCTTAGACACCTCGTCCAACGATGCTCTAGTTTGTTGATCCCTTCGGAATAGTAGGATTTGTCCAAGTCTGTAAAATAGGCATTCATTTCTGCAAGCAGCTCCTCGTTTGACTAAAATATTTTCCCGCCAGCCATTTTTTCATATTGAGGAACAAGTAATAGTCTG